ATAATAATAATAATAATAATAATAATTTATTATTATTATTATTATTATTATTATTATTATTATTCCCACAGTCAGCCAGTTGTTTAGACTGGATTTGGCATTTTTATCCACCTATTGAGTCCTCCCCAAGGACCTGGGATAGGCAGATGTTATTATTATTGTTATTGTTGTTGTTGTTGTTGTTATTTTGGTTCTCAAGTGGTGTTAATTATACCAAAATCCACTGTGATGGGAATAGTGGTGGTTGGAAGAAATAAGTATTGTATGCCATGACATAGCAATGGATTTTCAATCCGGTGTGTTACTTCAGGGAAGTTCATGTGTACTCAGTTATTCTTTGCCTACAAGCACAATCTTCTTTTTCTTTTCTAAATTAGCTGATGAGCTCTTACCAAGAGGACATTTATTAACAGGGAGATTGTTAAAGAATATCCTTCCCTAACTGAACTACTTTAATTAAATTCACTCAGCCAATCTGTGTTGCGGTGGTTAGAAGGTTAGACTAAGACTGAGGAGATCCAGGTTCAAATCCTGGCTAAGTCATGGACCTTAATATAGGTTGTCCTTGTTTAGTGACTGCCTCGTTTAGCAACCATTCGCAGTTATGATGGTGATGAAAAAGTAATTTTGCAACCAATCCTCGCATTTACAACCGTCACAGGTCTGTAAAGCAATGGAAAGCTGAAGTAAAATTGTAAGCACAGTTGCAGTTTCACTTAGTGACCGTTTTGCTTAATGACCAAGTTGCCAATCCCAATTGTGGTTGCTAAATAAGACTAGCTGTAGATAATTTGAGCCTATCACCAACTATAGGCCTAAAATCCATCACAGAAATGCCATGAGGATAAAGTGGGGGTGGGAAGCCAAGAGTGGGGAATGCTGTATGAAGTTTTATAGGAATGGTGGGATAGAAGTACCGCAAATAGGCAAAATAAATGTTTTCCAACTTTGCCACCACCTTCTCAGCCTTCTGCCATACAAAGAGTGAAAAGGGGCAATTCCCCTTCCCATGTAAACTTACATCAGCATTCTGGTATGCAGTAACCGCGATGAACTGAGTCTCTGGAAAAGTAAAGGTCTGGGTGCAGATTGAGGGGTGCACCTCGTCCACTTCGCCCTGCTTGGCCTCAGTAACATGCAGACGAGGCTGATACTTGTGTAAGGACTGCAGTACAATCATCTGCCAAATACACGGGACACGATTCATTCACACATGATCTGTGAGTTGCAGCTGAACATATTCCACCCCAATAACATTCCTGGAATTTGTAATAGCAATGCTGGTGGGGTGGATAAAGGCCAGATTCAAGAGCCTCCATTACCTGTGTGATATTGTTCGATGCTCCTTTATTGTTGGTGAGTTTCAGTTTCCCAAAGGAAATTTCCTGCCGCATCCAATGAGCTCCAGTGTTGGGAGAATCTGGATGCATGTATGTCCGATTCCCTGCCAGAAGGATGACATTTCCGGTAAGTATCTTGCGGTTTAAGTATGGAGCAAAGCACATACTAAGCTATAAGTAAATAAACTCACTTGAAGGCACTTCTTACCAACTACTTTTGCTGCTGTTTTACTCAGTCTGTTCCTGAAATGACAGTTCCCAAGTTCTTAGGTAGAAGGGTATGATAAATATGTAAAGTGAAAACCTGTTTTGATTTTGGGGGGCATATATAGATTGCAGTGTCTTATCTAGAACTGGGACCCTGTCTGTAAACAGGATAACCTGTCCTGGACTATGAAATCCCCTGAATATGCCATTTTCTTAGCATGTTTTAGCCAGGGTCTTGGCCCAAGGGGATTTAGTAAATAAACAATAGACTCCCCTACAGTCATCTTAGCCTGCAGCATTTTTAAGATAAACCATTGTGTTTTGAAATCAAGACATGTTAAAGTTCTAGCACCCCCTGCACAAAAATCAGGATGGGAATGGTTCCTAAATGTGGAAATCTGTATCTAGTTCAGTATTCCCCAAAGTGGTCAATATCGACCCCCAAGGTTCAATGGGGCTATTCAAGGGGTTGATAAATGGCTGGTGGGCAATAGGAACAGACTGAACCTGGAAGAACATGGTGACTTACAGCTAAAACTCACCAATCTCCAACCAAATATCAGTGCTCTTGTTGATGCTCATCAGATGCATCTTTCCCATTAATTATATTGACAGTTTCAGTAAAAAAGGTATGTTAAATCTTATATTTTTCATATTTTAAATATTACCTATTTTAATGAAATTATTACTATTGTTATTGTTATTATTTGTAGTACTATTAATTAAAGTAATATTTATTAAATTATTTTCATATAATAAACATTTGGGGGTCGA